GGGAGGGGGGAGTCAGATGCCAGCAGGTCTGGGGTGGGGTCAGCGAGTCTGCCTCCTTCAAGAGCTCCCCACGTGGCACTGTGGCAGCTGCTGGCCCACAGATCTCACAAGGAGCAAGGCCCTTGATGAATCATCGAAGGTGGACCTGAGAAATGAGGTCACTTGAGCTCGTTGTGACCTCAGAGGGCATCAGAAGGCCGCCTTGGGTTTGCCCCGGGGTCTGGGCTGACCATGGTAGCGGGTAGATGAGTCGCGAGGAGGGGAGTGGGGAAGAGTGGAGCTCCACCCGCGTGGAACAGACAAGTGTCATCTTGGCTCCTGGTCAGCCTGTCATTGGAACCAAGCTTCTGTCTTTTGAGGCTCTTACGATATGGGGAGTCTGAAGGGACAAGGCACAGCCCACAGTCACTTCGGCACCCATGCCCTTAGTGGGGACAGCTGTCAGTTAAACCAGCCTCTTTTCTGCCAAGGGCCTTTTGGATGTTTACAGCACTGGTCAAACTTTCATTAACCTCACCCTAATGTGATGGCTGCAGGAGCCCAGGTGGGGTAGTGGTTACCCGTTGTGCTGTGATCTGTATGGTCGCCGGTTTGAAACCACCATCAGCTCCTGTCGGCCACGTTTCTACTCCCTGCAACAGTTAGTCTCGGAAACCCGCAGGGGGTCACAATGAGTCAGCACAGACTCAGACCCCACTGGATGGCCGCGAGTCTGGGTTTTGAATGCTTTGCTGAAACACTGCTTCTCTCTGGTGAGACCTGTAATGTTGGTTCGTCCTGATGATTTTCAGGGCGTTTTTACGGCCTGGGGGCCGTAATACCGGAACGCATTACACCGCGGGCAGAAGTGTAACCAGGGGCACGTGGCGCCCACCCGCTCAGCCTCAGTCGCTGCCCGGCTGCCCATTGCAAGCGAAGGCCCAGCACTCCCCCAGGAGGGCAGCAAGCAGGCAGAGCAGCCGGCCCTGCCCCTCGGGGCCTCCTCCCTGCCAGGCTAGCGCCACTGTGGCGAAGGCCCAGTCGTGGTTGGTGCTTACTCGGCGCTTCTTCAGAGAGGCTGGGTGGGTCCCCCCCATCTGCATCTCCGGCAGCGTTTTGGGCTCAAAATGCCATGGCATTAAGTAGGGAGGGTCCGGGGTAGGGCAGGGCTGGTGGCGAGAGGGGTCCAATGGGCCCCACCCACCAGTCGGGGCTCCCTGCTGCGCGCCTGCTAGGAACTGGCGACCCAGACGGGAACGCTGGGGCGCTGCACGAGTGCCTCCACCCCTTTGCAGATGGGCCTCTGCGGGGCCCGGAGGGAGCGCCCGCAGCCCGCGTTCCCATTGGTCAGGAGAGGGAGGGCGGGACCGAGTCTTTGACTTCCTATTGGAGGGGACTGGCCCCAGCTCTGGGGGCTCTGTGGTTGTCACAACGGCCCCACTTACAGGGCCAGCTTCCAGGAGGAGCGTGCCCCGCGCCCCCCAAACCAGACCTGTGTGTAACCCAGTTCATTCAATTCCGACTCACAGGGCTGCCGCACGGGAGCCCCAAGGCTGAAATCTCAGGTGGCGGGGGGCGGAGACTGACCATTTGGTTAGCAGTCTGGTGCTCAGCCACTATGCCTCCAAGGGATGGGAAGAGGGGATCAAGGAGCAGGTCCTTAGCCCCTTTTCTACTTCCTAAAGGGCTAAGCCATTCCTAGTAGCTGGCAGGGCTTCCGATCCAGGGGCCTAGGCATCTGGATCCCCTGGCAGCCCTTCCCCTACCAACCCCGCACAGATCCGCTTCCCAATTTCCTACTCTTTCTGGTTGATGCCCGGTTGGTTCCTTGGTTGGTTCCTTTGCTGGGCAGGGGATCTTAGCTCTTGGTTAATGTGGGCAGCTCCCAGGAGTGTGAGAGGGTCACAGATGAGAAGCACCGCCCCACCCCAGCCCCCAATCTGTATGTAGGATGTCTGAGGGGATTGTGAGCATGAGGTCAGCACAGTGTGTGTGTGTGTGTGTGTGTAAGAGCGCCAGTGGGCTCCAAGGTCTTGAACACATACTTGTACACTCCTGTCTTAGGAGCCCTGGAACAGAGGAAGGGATGACAAGTTATTTAGTTATTTTCTCAAGTGGATGATCATTTGCTTCAGCCTCGAGGGGATCTGAAAGCTGTAAGGGATTGGCATAGAGGGGGTTCCCTGCTGGGTGTGCCTGGGATAGGCTCTCTCCCAGGTCTGGACAGAGCTGCTGCTAGCCCATGCCTTGGTGCCAGCCCACTGGCCAGCACAGACTGGAGGACCCGGGGCCGTGCTGACCGGTGCCAGCACACTGGGGGCAGGACAGGCTGTGTGCACAGAGAGGGTGTCATCAGCCCTCTGGGGGAAACTGGGGATGAGGCCAGATCAGGCCTGGCAGGTCCTTCTCCCTCATCTCAGCTGTCCTTTCCAGGGAGACTGGTCCCCCCTGGGTGGGGCCTGGCCCCAGGTAGCAGGGTCTGAGGACCTAGCCTCTGGCTGCTTTTCTGGGAGGCAGGGCAGCGCGCAGGGTGGGGCAGCGTCCCTGTGTGACAAAGCAGATCAGGCCTGTAGAGAGGAGGGCCAGGGTTTTGAGCCCTGGCTGTGGAGCTATACTTCTGAGGGTGGGGGAGGCGAATACCTTCTGGTCAGAGCCCTGGAAGCCCTCGGGGCCCTTGGACACTTCCCTTGAGGGTATAGGGAAGAGGGGCCTCCCCTCAGCCCCCGGGGACCCTGTCCACCGTGGTGTGCCAGGGTCTGGGCTGCTGGCTCCAAACCTTCTGAGAGTGTAGTGAGGGGATCTGAGAGGCCTGTTGAGACAAGGACGTCATGAGGAGGGGGTGGCCCAGGGGCAGGGCAGGTGGCCCAGGTGCAAGGCAGTGGAAAGGAATCTCTTGTCCTGCTTCCTGACCCAGATGGCACAGTGGTTGAGTCCTGGGCAGAGGAAGCTCTGGCCCCAGCAGCATGTCAGTTACCAAAGGCTGGCTGGGGCTCTCCACTCTTACCCAGCTGTGCTGAGCCCTGAGCCCCCACCCTGAGCCTGGCGTTGCTTGTGCTTCTTCCTCAAGACTTCTCTATCAAGGCCTCAGCACCCCCAAAAGGTAAAGGCCCAGAGGGTGGGGTCTCCTGGGCAACTCAGTCACTGAAGCACCCCCCCGCACGCTGTGGGCTCATCGCCCATCTCTAGGCATCTGATGGGCCCCAGAACACGCTTGTGGAACTCTGGCTCCTCAGAACCCTTGCCATCGCAGCTGCCGCTCTGCCTTTAAGAAAGGACATCCACCTGTTGGTCCACCTGCTGAAAGGGGTCGGGGACAACACAAGTGTTCTCAGGTGATCTCTGGAGACAGTTTCTCGGCTGTTGTCCTTTGGGAGGCTTTCCCCACCCCCACCCCCCTATCCCCCATCCCTGGGTAGCTTTGAACTGCCAGCCAATCTTGTGTTCAGCAGATGAGTGGTTCACTGATGCGCCACTAGGGCTCCTGTTTCCAGCAGACACAGTCCAGGTGAAAGGAGCCCGCTGGGCGCTGGGCTGCTAACCACAAGGTCACCAGTTTGAAACCATCCACCCCTCTGCGGGAGAAAGCTCAGGCTTCTTATCCTTGTCAAGAGTTACAGCCTGGGAAATCCACCGCGGCGGCTCTGCTCTGTCCTGTAAGGTCGCTGTAGTTGGGACAGAGCGATGGCAGTGAGTTTCCTCTGTGTGTGTGTGTGTGTGTGTGTGTGTGTGTGTGT